AGTAAGACTTCAGATATGGTCTTGATGACTGCTTTTACATATAAATCAAAGCACTGTGTCTTTTGCTCTGCAGCACATGATCTTACACAGCAATATGATTCACCACCCTGGATTAAGGCATTAGATTAAAGTTTTACGGTCCTGATCTGGGGTGCGTACAGGCAGAACAGACAGTTTTTACGTTAGAATGCAAAGATTTGAACGTTATAGTAATAGGCGTTGAGAGAAGTAAGATCTTCTCGCTAGAAGGGACACAGGAGAGACACACGCCCCCTCCGTCCCGGATATGTACTGAAGGATCGATCGCTCTCACACGTGTGTATAAAAACTTCTCAATCATTTTCGATTTGTTCTATTTTAACTGGAGATCCTACTGAATATAATATATAAAATCTGTTTGGGTTTACATGTTCACTCATTCATTCTCTCACTTTACCACGAATGTTTAAAGTTGTGAACTCAGTGACAGCGTAACTAAGGTTTAACTAGTACGCTATCTACGATAAACCGACTCTATCTTAACCAAATTTCGTCTCATGGTTTGTAAAACATATTTTCGAACTGGACGTTGCAAGACTCAAAAGCAGCGTGATGCATGATCTAGATTTGATACGTATCTATTTATTCTGATTTTACTACTGATTTTGATTCGAAAAAGCAGATTTTGATTCTGATTTTATTTTTTAACCGACGGGTTTTACTTGTGAACAACACCAGTTATCTCTATGAGAAACCGAAAAAAAAATCGACTACATGTGTAGACACCTTGTTTATGTGGCCCGCATTGTATAACGAGCAGATTTAAGGATTAGGTTATATGCTCTTGGACTGTGTTTATGTTGTCGACAGTGCAGCGAGACGTCTTTCCAACAACGTACTTTGGTTCTAAAACTAAAGAAGTTAAGAGCTCTGCGGGAGATATACCTTGACCGCTGGTTATATTTCCATTTAGCCTGATTAGGACATCGTCAATTTGGTTTTTGCCTTTCAAGTTTTACCGACGTTGAGGGACAACACAAATGACATGACAAAACATACAGAGTGGTACGAAACATACGGATGGTTTTAAAGGATACAGCTGCACTTTCAACTCTCTTCCCTTCAAAGTCTGAATACGCTTATGACCAACACCCTCACTGAAGTCGTTATTGCGACACGCTCGGGATAGCCTTCAAAGTCCAGCTTTGTAGGGGATCGGGATTAATCTACACCAGTGGCTTCAGGAGGGGGAAGGCCCTGAGGTACCCTGGCATAAAGCCTTTGTAATACAATAACTTCAGTTACCTTCTCTCTTTCTAATAGAAAAGCTAGGGCAAACTTAACCACGGTCCTTTAATGTGAGTACTACAGACAGTTAAAATTTTTCTATTAAAAAAGGTCAGTTTTTATTTTACACAGCATTCGACACTTCATTTTAAAAACAAACATCACTTTGCGAATTACTTGATTGTAGAGACCAGAGTAGAGCCGTCTGAGAGTGTTGTTGTGTGGCAGTGGCTCTACCGGTTAGTGACAAGGAAGCAGTTTTTTCACCACTGGTGGGAGTGATAGTTGTGTTATTTGTCAGGTCTCTTACAGTACGGTTTTCGCCGAACGGACGGACGGAATGAAACTAGAGAGACTTGATGGACCTGAAAATTACAAATTAACAGTTGTCATGGACGGTTGGGATGGGCTAAAACCTGCATGACGATATGCAAAACCTGTACAAAGATTTGGCCGGATNCAGAGTTCATGGTGGAGTCCTCGGGCGGACGGCCCGGAGGCAAGGCAGAGTTCATGGTGAAGTCCTCGGCTGGGGAACTCAGGAGACCGGGCTCAAGGGCAGGAGCTGGCGGAATCCCCGGCGGGCCAGGCGCAGACGAGACCCCGGACGAAACCTGGGCCGGCGCCAGTGGGACCCACGACGGAGCAAGGACCGGTGCCGACGGGACCCGAAACAGGACAGGACACGGTATCGGCAGGAAACCCGGCGGAGCAGGTCTCGGCGGGACCCCCAACGGAACAGGACATGGAGCCGGCAGGACCCCCGACGAAACAGGCACCGGAAGGGCATAGGGTTGGTAGGACCCCCGGCAGAACAGTAGTCGTCGGGGCCTCCCACGGCACAGGACATAGGGTTGGCAGGACCCCCGGCAGAACAGTAGTCATCGGGGCCTCCAACGGCACAGGACATAGGGTTGGCAGGACCCCCGGCAGAAGAGTAGTCGGCGGGACCTCCAACGGCACAGGACATAGGGTTGGCAGGACCCCCGGCAGAAGAGTAGTCGTCGGGGCCTCCAACGGCACAGGACATAGGGTTGGCAGGACCCCCGGCAGAACAGTAGTCATCGGGGCCTCCAACGGCACAGGACATAGGGTTGGCAGGACCCCCGGCAGAACAGTAGTCGTCGGGGCCTCCAACGGCACAGGACATAGGGTTGGCAGGACCCCCGGCAGAACAGTAGTCGTCGGGGCCTCCAACGGCACAGGACATAGGGTTGGCAGGACCCCCGGCAGAAGAGTAATCGGCGGGGCCTCCAACGGCACAGGGCATAGGGTTGGCAGGGGCAGAAGAGTAGTCGGCGGGGCCTCCAATGGCACAGGGCATAGGGTTGGCAGGACCCCCGGCAGAAGAGTGGTCGGCGGGGTTTCCAACGGCACAGAACATAGGATTGGCAGGACCCCCGGCAGAAAAGTAGTCGGCAGGCCCTCTAACGGCACAGGACATGGAGTTGGTAGGACCCCCAGCGGAACCTCCAACGGACCAGGACATTGGGTATGGACTTGAGAGGGAACTTGAGAGGAGACTCGAGAGGGAACTCGAGAGGGAACTTGAGAGGAGACTCGAGAGGGAACTTGAGAGGAGACTTGAGAGGTGCCTTGAGAGGGAACTCGAGAGGAGACTTGAGAGGTGACTTGAGAGGGCACTCGAGAGGTGACTTGAAAGGGAACTCGAGAGGTGACTTGAGAGGGGACTCGAGAGGGAACTTGAGCGGGGACTCGAGGGGGAAACTGAGAGGTGGCTTGAGAGGGAACTCGAGAAGAGACTCGAGAGGGGACCTGAGAAGGAACTTGACAGGGGACTCGAGAGGAGACTCGAGAAGGGACTTGAGAAGGAACTTGACAGGGGACTCGAGAGGGAACTTGAGAGGGAACTTGAGAGGGAACTTGAGAGGGGACTCGAGAGGGGACTCGAGAGGGAACTTGAGAGGAGACTTGAGAGGACTCTCGAGAGATGACTTGAAAGGGAACTTGAGAGGAGACTTGAGAGGGCTCTCGAGAGATGACTTGAAAGGAAACTCGAGAAATGACTGGAGATGGAATTTGAAAAAGACCTTGACAGGGGACTCGAGAGGGGACTTGAGAAGGAACTTGACAGGGGACTCGAGAGGGGACTTGAGAAGGAACTTGACAGGGGACTCGAGAGGAGACTCGAGAGGGAACCTGAGATGGAACTTGAGAGGTGACTTGAGAGGAGACTTGAGAGGTGATTTGAGAGGGCTCTCGAGAGATGACTTGAAAGGGAACTCGAGTGGGGACTGGAGAGGGAACTTGAAAAGGAACTTGACAGGGGACTCGAGAGGAGACTTGAGACGGTCGATAAGCCGACAGGGCACAGGAAGCTGGCATCGGCCGAAGAGCCAGTACTGGAGCCGAAACTGGAGTCGGGACCATGGCTACTGGGGCCGGTAGTGAAGCCGGAACCATGGCTGCTTGGGCCGGCACTGGAGCAGTCCGCAGGTGAGGGATCAAACTATTCATCTTTTCAGCCAGCTGTTGCAGCTTTGTAGAGATGTCTTCCTGAATCTCTGCCTGGCGTCTTCTTGTATTCTCTGGGTGGCCATACCCAGCTGTTCCTCGTGGTGAAACACTTTCACGCCGTGTGCTGACAGGGCGGCGTGAAGTGTTCTTGGATCGGCTGGGTCCATAATGGTCAGTTTGTTCTGTTACGAACTCAGACACTCAGGATGTAGGACCCAATTGCATGACCCGGGAGACCGAGGTAAAGTATTGGTTAGATACTTTATTTTTCCAAATCAAGCAAGACTAACAAAAAATGGTCACTATCGAATCTCAGTTTGAGATGACAAAAAATGAGAACAAAATGAAATCGCTCACGTAGTGAGGAACAAAAACTTATTAAAAGCACAAAGAGAGCATAGACCTGACTGTGGCAAGAGATAAGAGTAAAGCACTGAACATGACAAGAGACGAAAACGAACTGACACTGAACACTGGGAGACAGGGGAATTTAAACACATGACAATAAGACACAGGTGGGAATAATCAGGGGCGGGACTGACGCTGATTGGCACAGGTAACACAGAAGGGGTGACAGGTGAAAACAATCAGGAAATTAGACACACCAGGGAAACTAACGACAGACAGGAAAACACAGGGAAAAAAGACCAGACAATATACAGGGTGGAAAACATGACATGGAGAACAGAAAATCACCCACTACCAGACACACAAACTTAAAACCGTGACACTTATTGACTTTCAATCTGCATATTTTATTCACACTCTGGAGAAATTTGACAAACTTATTATTTTGGGATTTTAGACCTTGTTCTTTAATAGAAAACTCCTGGATATTTTAAATAGCTTTCATATCATTTGACCAAATTACTTCAAATGACATTACTACACTGAAAAGTAGAAGTTCACCTCTTTCTCTTACATGTTCACCTATTCATATATTAATATTAATTTGCAACCATTAGCACAGTTTTAATGGAGATCTTCTCTTCAATAACTTCTGTGTCATGTAACACAATGATTGTAAATCCATTCAAACTTTTTATGTCAACCTTAATATTGTATTTTTTATAAAATATATTTTCAGGGTAGAATGTACTTGTCTTATAAAATGCATTCAGACATTAAAACTAGGGAGTATTTCTAATATTTAAAAAACATGTCTTATATACATTGCAGCACTTGAAGTATATACAATATTATTACAATATTACAAATCCTTCATATGATGAATAAAGACACAGAGATGTGGTGAATATTTGGTTAATAAATGTCTTTATTTGGCTTTGAAAGGAATATTACTGCATGAGATAGCAGCATGTAAGTCACAGTTGTATAGCAGAGGTCTGGAGAGCCAGAACTCCTCAGCCTCCCCAGAAACAATTGAGATGAAGAAGGGGAACACATGTTTTGTTTTCACTTTCAGACATGGTTAAGGCAATTCTTTTTTAAATTGAACACACAACAAGCAAAACATCTATCCCATCCAGCAGATATTCAAGCTCGAAGAGTCAGGCCATGCATTCATGCCCGTTGGTTGATTCATTTGTCAAAAAAGAAAGCAGAGGAAAAGGAGAAATTATGTTGTTTACAGCAAAGTGATAAGGAAGGGGTTAAGGTGAAAATAGCCCTTAAATGCTACTCTTTACCCGGCGACATCTGCCACTTCACTGAGGGCTGTCAGTGTCACCTTCAGCTGTCCGACACCCGCAGCCTCACATCTACCTACGTTCATTTATCTAGCAAAATTAAACAAAAGCACTGTTCACAAGGAGAACGAAAAAAGGGCTTGGAGATAAATATGAATACTCTGACAGGGGGCTAATTGACAAATGAATCAATCAAAGAATCAAAAATATATATATTTATATAGCGTCAATTTAAACTCTACATTCCCTGGTGGAGAAGCTGAAGGAAATACCCTCCAACCTCTTACAACACATTCGTATATATACAGTTTTTCTGAGCTCCGATTTGCCGTTATTGCCGTGCTGTGACACTGCCGTGAATTAAATAAAAGGCTTTAATGGTAACTGGTACGTTTTCGTGGTGGGATGCAGAAGAGTGAAAACATGTATCTTGCTGTGTTTATGTGCAGAAGCGTTTTTCCTTTTTGCTTCCCAACATTCAAGAATGAGCTGGTAGAGCTGTGATACAATCTTTTACTTTCAGTACTGCCGAACTTTTATATGTAAAAATTAAATAGCACCGTAAAAGTTGGACTGGCTGTGCGTTTGTCTCAAAGTCTGTGTGCTGACTCGAGAAGGTTTTTTGATTGCTCTTACTGTAAATAATCATCGTGGAGAAAAAACCATTGTAGCATCATGCTAGCTTAAACAATCATGATGACCCTCTTCTGCCATTTGAAATACTTGTTCTCAATCTAATAGCTTTTGTACTACTCACGTCTGAATTACAGAGCAAACAGAGACAGTTAAACTAGGTGGGCGTGATGCGTCTGGAGCGTGATGAAGAGTGTGATGTGTTTTTGGGAATGATGAAGATTTAGCAGTTTAGCTCTTGGTGGTCTTGTTGGTGGAGCCCTCCTCCTTCTTCTTCTCCTTTTCCTTCTGCTTGTCATCCTCATCATCTTCTTCCTCATCCTCTCCCTCAGCATCATCTCCCTCCTCTGCCTCCTCTTCGTTCTCGTCTCCCTCCTCTCCCTCTGCCTCGGCCTCTGCCTCCTCCTCTTCATCTTCAGCCTCTTCCTCTTCCTCCTCCTCGGGCTTGGCTTCAGACTTCCTGTAGGATCCGAGGTTGTAGCTTCGGGCCGACATGTAGGAGAAGCCGGGGTATCCGGACTGAACCATGGCGCCGCTCACAGTGCTGAGGCGGCACTCTTCACCTTCCAGAAGCTTCCTGTACGGACAGAACAAAAAACATTTCATACTTTTAGTTTGAAAAACACAAGAAAAGATCAAAAATTGTCTTAATGCACATTATTTAATTTCAAATTGTGTTCTTGTACATATCATATAGTCTATTGACATGTATATAGACTTCTTGCACTATATTTTATTTTGTATTTTTGTATGTTATTATATATGTTGCATTGTTGGAGGAGCTCGGGTCAGAAGAATTTCCTTGCCCTCTGGTTAGATATGACACTTAATGTATGCATAATAAATAATATCAATAATAAATTAATTTTCAACATATTTTTGCTTCTGATTTGTAATTGTTCTTTTTTGTGTTGTACTTTAAACTGTTTTTGTTTGTTTTGTGTACGCCCTGTTACTGTATCATTTCTTAAAATACAAAAAACAGATAGACAGGCGACAAGAGTTGACCTCTGGTGTCGTTGCTATAATTATCTCACTGTGTCGATCCGAGGGATCAAATGTCACCGCAGTATCAGTGGCAACACCTCGGATGTCTGTTTTGGTTTATTTTCCCGAAACACAATCCCAGATATATTATTGTAAGGTTTAACTTCATCTATCCGATTACAGCATACATTTATTTTGTTGATAGCTTACTGGGAATTGTGGAAATGAGAGACAAGCAACAAGGATCATTTCTGTAACAATCGGAGTCCCTATGTACGTTTTTAAAGGAGGCTTTGAATGTCTACTCTGATTTTATGATGTCTTCAACCAGTGAATAAGGAGATTTAAGAGTTAGTCTGTTTTTAATTAAATCCCCTGGTTGTGTGCAGCCACACAGAGCAGCTGATATTTGTATTGAAAATGTTGTTATTGAAAGCCTAAACACCAACAAATATGTTCGTAAAGCAGAATATTATGTGAGGTATTCTGCTTTTAAACGGTGTGATCACATTTATCTTTGTTCAATACATTGTGACAATGGAGTTTACACAATATGGGGTTTTTGGAAATGGTTGAATCACACAAGTCTGTGTCCTGCTAGTAAGCCATCACTGAAATCTAATTCTATAATCGTAGAAAACTGTTGATGAAGCTTCGAAACACATCAAAGCTCCTCAGGCTAGTTTAATCACTGACCTGTAGGCAGCGATCTCGATGTCCAGGGCCATCTTCACGTTCAGCAGGTCCTGGTACTCACGCAGGTGACGGGACATCTCTCCCTTGGTGCTGCGCAGGGCGGACTCCAGCTGCTGGATGGTGTCCTACACACACACACACACACACACACACCGTCAGACACTCAGTCCACCGTGTCCTTGAGACTTGATGCCCATATAAACGTCTGCCATGTCTGTCAGTATGTGATAAAACACCATATGTGTTATCTGTCTCTTACAGTATATCCTACTTTGAGCCTTATGGTGCAGATATGGTTTTAATATTTGTTTTATTTAGTATTCATTTTCCGTCAGGCTTCATGCATTATTTTTAAAAGAAAAGTGTGCAGAATTTCTAGTATGAAAGGTGATAACAAATAAAGTGTATTTATGTTTATTTTATTAACTTTTCTTTTTAATGACTGTTTTTAAATGCCATTTTCTTAATGTCTTTCATTTTTTTAAAGCACTTTGAATTGCGTTGTGTTGGAAGGTGCTATATAAATAAACTTGCCTCGCCTATAATTATAATTTGTTCCTTTTTATAACTGTCTATAAGTGAACCTTTATGCCTCATATTTTTGCCATATCTCCCTCGCCTGGATAAATACAAACTATCCAAATGAGTAAAACACTTTTAAACGTACCTGCATATCTCCCATCTCGTTGTTGTGGCGGTCCTCCATCTCGGCGATCTGCCTCTCCAGGGCCTCATTGTGGCCCCTGAGGGCCTCGATCTCCAGGGTGCGGGCCTGCACCTGCCTGCGGTACTCGCTCAGCTCCTCCTTGGAGTGCTTCACGGCCTCCTGGTTGCGAGCAGCTGCCTCTGTCACACTGTTGAACTTGGAGCGGTACCAGTCCTCAGACTGGGCCGTGTTCCTGGCCGACAGAGTCTCGTACTGAGCCCGGATGTCCTTCAGCGCCGCCGTCAGGTCCGGCTGCTTCATGTCCATCTCCACCGACACCTGTGAGGGACAGAGGGGTTTATTTAAAGGTCCCCTATTATACTGTTTTTCATCAACATATTATAGCTCTCAGATATATACAAACATGTCTCTGAAGTGTTTGGCTCCAAGTACCAAACAGATCATTGCAGCATTACCCATAATCCCCTCCGTTTCAGCCCTGTTTCCAAAGTGCTGATTCTCTGTCTGTTACTTTAGATGAAAATAAGGAGCCCCTCCCCACGCCCCTCTGAGAGAGATTTGGTTAAAAAGAACACAATGGTGCTCTAGGAGGAGATTCAGGTGATAAGGTGGGGGGT